AGGGCCCCTGGCCATCCCACGAGGTCATCCATGACGAACCAACAACACACACACACCCATACCCATAGGGGGGTCGGAAAGGGCTGTGGGTGCGTGTTGTCGGATGGGGGTCCCCGCTCGAACGGGAGCGTTCCCTAGGGTCCGACAACCCGCACCCATGCCCATAGCCAGCCCTCCTCCCTACGACCCCCTTTATGGGTATGGGTGTGTGTGTGTTGTTCGTTCGTCAATTCAAGACCCCAACGCCCGAGCATCAGCTCGGGTCGGTGCTGTGCGTGCGCCGTTCCGCTCTGCTCAGCTCGTGGGGCTTCGCCTCGGGCCCCCGCGATCACGATCGGCTGCTGCACCGAGGCACCGCGCCGCCCGCCCCCCGAGCGCCGCGCGCACCCCTGCGGCTCTCTCGCCCGCGGAGCCCCTCCTGCGACTCTGCCGCTGCGGGCCCCCCCTCCCAGAAGACACCGCCCACAGCACGCTGGCCCCGAGGACGTCCTCCCTCGGCGGCGCCCCGAACGCCCCGCCCAGGGCAAGGTGCGGCCCCGTCTCCTCCTCCTTGACCCGGCGACACCTGTGCTGCCGCACCGCGGTCGGCGAAGGGAGTCGGCTGAAACTGGTACCGCGAGCGCCGAGGCGGCTGGTGGCCCCGCGGCCGAGGGGCACCTGCAGAAAGCCTGCAGCACCACCTCCTCGCTCCTTTCGTCCGACTCGCCCGACGGGGGCAGGCCCTCCTCCTGCCCCGACTGGCAGGAGCTCCCTCGTTGCACCCTGAGTCCCACGGCGAGTACGAGCGGACCTCCGACCCCGACCATCAGGTCGGGCATGCCCTCCTACAGGGGGATGTTGGACAAATGATGAATTATCCTGGCAAAGCAACCTAACAGCGATGTGTATAAGCATTTCTATCTGGAAGGATTCCCCTTAAGATTCAGGTGAGAATCCAGTTGTAGAATTCTGCTGTTCTCGCAGTCGCAGTCGCATTCGCAATGACAGTCGCAGTGGCTACGGATTGGCTCTCGCATTCGCATAACTATGCCTACGGATTCCTAAGGATGCCTACGGATCCCCAAGGATTTCTAGGGATTCCTATGGATTCCTACGGATGCCTCTGCCCGCCTCAGTTTCAGCCTCAGCCTCAGCCTGCCTCGGCTTGCCTCAGCCTCAGCCTCAGTCTGCCTCGGCCTCAGCCTCAGCCTGCCTCAGCCTCAGCCTCAGCCTGCCTCGGCCTCAGCCTGCGTCAGCCTCAGCCTCAGCCTGCTTCAGCCTCAGCCTGCCAGCCTCCTCAGCCTCAGCCTCAGCCTCAGCCTCAGCCTCAGCCTCAGCCTCAGCCTCAGCCTCAGCCTGCCTCAGCCTCAGCCTCAGCCTGCTTCAGCCTCAGCCTCAGCCTCAGCCTCAGCCTCAGCCTCAGCCTCAGCCTCAGCCTGCCTCGGCGTGCCTCAGCCTCAGCCTCAGCCTCAGCCTCAGCCTGCCTCAGCGTGCCTCAGCCTCAGCCTGCCTCGGCCTCAGCCTGCCTCGGCCTGAGCCTGCCTCAGCCTTCCCTCCTCCCTCGCCCCCCCTTCCCCCCCCCATTCAGCCTCACCTTGTCTCAGCCTCAGCCTGCCTCGGCCTCATCCTCAGCCTCAGTCTCAGCCTCAGCCTGTTTCGGCCTGAGCCTGCCTCGGCCTCAGCCTCAGCCTGCCTCAGCCTCAGCCTGCCTCAGCCTCAGAGCATCAGCAGCCTCAGCCTCAGCCTGCCTCGGCTTGCCTCAGCCTCAGCCTCAGCCTGCCTCGGCCTCAGCCTCAGCCTGCCTCGGCCTCAGCCTGCATCAGCCACAGCCTCAGCCTGCCTCAGCCGCAGCTTGCCTCAGCCTCAGCCACAGCCTCAGCCTCAGCCTCAGCCTCAGCTTCAGCCTCAGCCTCGGCCTGCCTCGGCTTGAATCAGCCTCAGCCTCAGCCTGCCTCGGCCTCAGCCTGAGCCTCAGCCTGCCTCAGCCTCAGCCTCAGCCTCTCAGCCTCAGGCTGCATCAGCCTCAGCCTCAGCCTCAGCTTGCCTCAGCCTCAGTCTCAGCCTCAGCCTCAGCCTGCCAGCCTCAGCCTGCCTCGGCCTCAGCCTGCGTCAGCCTCAGCCTCAGCCTGCCTCAGCCTCAGCCTGCCTCAGCCTCAGCCTCAGCCTGCCTCGGCATGCCTCAGCCTCAGCCTCAGCCTGCCTCGGCCTCAGCCTGCCTCGGCCTCAGCCTGCCTCAGCTCGGGCATTCAAAATATGGCACAGGACTGGCGTTCTGGGAACACGAAGAACACAAAGTGGCCCACGGCTGGCTCCGGGCATTCAAAGTATGGTACAGGAATCATGTTCTGGGAACACGAAGAACACGAAGAGGCATACAGTTGGCTCCGGGCATTCAAAATGTGGCCTGGGAATGGTGTCCTGGGAACACGAAGAACACGAAGCTGTCTACAATTGGCTCCGGGCATTCAAAACCTGGCCTGGGAATGGTGTGCTGGGAACACGAAGAACACGAAGTGGCCTACGGCTGGCTCCGGGCATTCAAAATGTGGCCTGGGAATGGTGTCCTGGGAACACGAAGAACACGAAATGGCCCACAGTTGGCTCCGGGCATTCGGAATGTGGCCTGGGAGTTATGATCTGGGAACACGAAGAACACGAAGTGGCCCACGGCTGGCTCCGGGCAATCAAAATGTGGCCTGGGAATGGTGTTCTGGGAGCACGAAGAACACGAAGTGGCCTACGGCTGGCTCCGGGCATTCAAAATGTGGCCTGGGAATGGTGTGCTGGGAACACGAAGAACACGAAGTGGCCTACAGTTGGCTCTGGGCATTCGGAATGTGGCCTGGGAATAGTGTTCTGGGAATGGATTCCTAAAGATTCCTAAGAATTCCTGAGAATTCCTAAGGTTTCCTGGGGCTGACCCTTTTGTCTGGTTCCTTGTCCGGATCCCGCCCAGACCCCCCTGGGGCGTCAAGATGCTCTCTTTTTGGATCCCACTAGAAACCTATCAGCGCAAACGCTGTCAGGTAAAAATGCTCAGAACATGCACCAAGATGGTCAGACATGGCCGAGACATCGTGCCCTGACTATTTTTGCGTTTTACCTCTTTCTGGAATACACCCTGCGAAATGCTTAAGAAATCATGGGTTAAGAAATTCATAGTCTCAGAACTTGAATAAAAACCCAACGTTTCCATTCAAATCTTAGGATTTACATTGAAACGTTAAGAATTATCGAGACTCTGCCCGAAAACTTAGGTTTTCTTAAACATCGCCTTAGGTGTACTCCTCCTGTGGAGGGACAGGCCCGACGTAAACCCCACCGCGCCCGCTGGGCGACCCCCTCCCCTGGCGCTCCCGCGGAGGGGGCCCCCCTCCCGAGGCGCGCTTTGCGAGGCGGGCCGTGGCCTCGGCCGGGGACGGATCCCCGCTGGCAGGCGACGCATGCCAGCACGGCAGGGTGACCTGCAAGTCGGGCACGTCCCTCTGCAGGAGGAAGATTGACAGCGGTCCAAGCATACCGGGGAGACGTAAGACCCGGGTACGGGGGACTCGGAAATCCCCGACGAGGTCGTCAAAAAAAAGACGAGGCCGAGCCTGCATTTTGACGAGGCCTCCCGCTGCAGACATCCCACAAAACTCCTCCTCGTCAAAATCCGAGTCGCGGTCGTCAAAAAACGATGGCGAACCCGAGTCCCGGCAAACCCGGTCTTACGCTCCCCCGAGCATAGTCTGGGGACGATGTGCTGAAATTGTGTCTGCCAACTCAGGAGCACTCTTTGACCATGTCGCATCTCGCGTCGAAAGCCCGCCTGTGGGGGGGGCATGCCCGACCTGAGGTTACCTTGGCCGCTCGTGGGTCCAACTCTCGGCATAACGTTGCTCCCGTCGCACTTGAGGACCACATCTTGGGGGGCGGAAAGATACGGATACGTGTTGTCCCCGGACCTCTCTTGGGGTGCGTTCTGACCAGAATTTCGAGGCGAATCCAGCGGTGACAACGAGGATTCCCCAGGAGGACCAGGAAAGGCCGAAAACGACGGGGGACAACACGTATCCGTATCTTTTTCTCCCCCGAACATCCCCAAAGTCATCTCGAGCACCCAGACAAGCGTCGGAGCGAGTGTCGAGCGAGCATCGCCCCCCGGGGCCCGACGCGCACAGGCCGTCGAGGTTGGTGGTGCTCTCTTGGTGCCCGAGATTAGTTAGACGAGCGCGTTCCACTAACTACTCGCACAGTAGCTACTCACAAGTGGCCCGGATACTCCGCGGGGGATCTACGATAAATGACATCAAAACCGGCATACGTTTTTCGGACGTCTGCGAGTAGGCACTTTGCGAGCAGTGGAACGCGCTCGGTGATTCTTTCTGGTGGTCAAAGCAAGTCGGTTGGGACATCGTAGCTCTCAGCCATCCGCGCCCTCCCATGGCTCCTGGCGGCGAGGCAGCGCTCTGCTTCCCAGGCTGGGCCCTGAGCCGCCGAAGCGCCTGCGCCGCCGACCGCTAGCCCATCGCGCCCCGCCGCCCTCCCCAGCGCAAACGATCCGACTCCTGCCACGACCTGGACCGCCATGTCTCGGCAACGTACGCGTGGAATCGGCACTGGCAAGATAGAGGCCTCCTAGATGGGGTCGGAGTCATGTGGTCCGAGGATCGCGCCTCGCCGACGCATTGGCGATGCATCGGCCATGCATCGTCGAAGCACCGGCAACGTCGGTGATGCACCGGCGACGTCGGTGTGGAGAAACTCGGGCTCCACATCGAGCCGCATCGACGATGCATCGGCGATGCGGCGCGATCCCCCGACCCCATCTACTCCGACCCCATCTAGGAGGCCTACACAAGAGCCACAGGGAACAGACGCCGGCCGGCGGAGGACGCCCTCCAGCTTACAGCTTATGTCCATGGACCCCGAGCCCCCGTTGCCCACCGACCCGAACCTCAGCTCGCCCTGCCCCCGCCGCCCCTGCGCTGGGCCGAGACCTCCCTCTTCTCCCCCCCCCCCCGGCTGGCGGTGCCGACCTGGCTGCGTGGACTCCGTGCCCAGGTACGGCTTCGCTCGGAACGGCCTCCGTTCCTCGCTCCGCCAGGCCGCCCGCCACCCCGCGGATGCCGTCAGTCTGGAACTGTTCGCCTCCACCCACTGTGGCTCACCGCCGTGGCCCAGCACGGCGAGCAGCTGTTCCTGGTCTGGGGCTGGGAGCACTGCTCTGGCGTCGGCCCACCGGCACGAAGCGCCATGGGCTCAAGCTGCAGACTCGCCTCTGGGCGTCCGCGGCGTCTGCCTCGCCGAGCGCACCCGCGGCGCTCCCGGCCCCTGGGTCGACGACTGCCCAGAGGCGCTCCCCCACCGGGCCCGAGCGGGTGCCGCCGGCCGCCAGCTGTGCTGCCCTCGTCCCTGAGATCCCCCCGCCCTGGCGGTCGGCGTCGCGTCTCCCTGCGTCGGCCCCATCCACCCGCGGCTTCACTGGCCCAGGGTGAAGGATGAAAGCCCCCCGCGTCTCCCGCTGCTGCCTCGTCTTGAGGGGGGCCTGTGCCACCCAGACCACGGCGGCGACGACGGCCGACGACGAGCAGCATCCGGAGCAGGAGCAGGAGGGGGGTTCATCGGGAGAATCATCTAAGCCGCAGACGCTTCGTGGGCCAGCAGCTGACCCTCTGGCTCCGCCGTGGGCGCTGCCGATGCGGACGCGGCCCACCGCGGAGATGCTGGAGGGGAGGAGAGGAGAGGAGAGGTGGAGAGAGAAGAGAGGGAGAGATGGGAGAGAGAGAGGGAGAGAGAGAGAGAGAGATACTGACAGAAACTGCATTCGCGCAGAAAGTCTCGATCATATTTCCCGCTCTGGATGCTTGTCCCGACCCGTGGAGGCGGCCGTCCAGGCCTCGCGACACCCCCATCATCGGGCAGCCGGGGCCCACGGGGCGGCGCGGGGATGCTCTGCTTTGGGCGGGGCCTCGGCCGAGGTCTCGCCCCGAACCGCCCGCCGTCGAACCATGGGGTTCATCATTCCCAGGCCTCCCCTGTCTTACGACGCGCACACACCCACCCACCCACCCACCCGCCCACCCACCGCTATCCTCCCCACCCCGCACACACACGACACAACACAACACACACTCACACACACACACTCCACAACACACACGCACGCACGCACGCACGCACGCACGCACGCACGCTCGCACGCACGCTCGCACGCACGCACGCACGCACGCACGCACGCACGCACGCACGCACGCACGCACGCACGCACGCACGCACGCACGCACGCACGCACGCACGCACGCACGCACGCAAGCACGCACGCACGCACGCACGCACGCACGC